TGTAATCCTTCTATCTTTACATAGTATAGAGTTAGTCTAGATTTATAGGGTTGTCATTCTAGGTTGTATTATACATGATGTAAGACTATGAACCAAGCCACAAGCAATTTCTCTATCCCCATGAGCAGCCACAGTGGAGACATTAGTAGAAACCAAGTGATTTTTCTACATATTTAAAGTGTCTGTGTCTAATATTTATTCAGAGGTAAAAATGGTTTTTTGGTAGGTTTAAGCCCCCAAATTTCCTTACTTTCTTACAAAGAGAAGAAGAAAAATAGGTTAGTGCATAAACATTTCACTTCATTTTTAAAATTGGCCTAAGAAATGTAGACTGACCTATTTTTTTGAAAAAAGGACTGCAGAAAGGTTTCAGAGAGGAAAGAGATATCTATCGTCAGAGTTGGCCAAAATTTGCAACATGGAATAAGGAAGAATCTAGGAAGCGATGCTAGGGACCCAGGCTGGACCTCTCCCTTCCTCCCACTGAGAGTAAAAGGAAGTAGATCAAAAGTAGGATGAGCCCCAAGACATACGGAGAGATGTTCAAATTCTTCGCTGAGGAACTGTTTTACTTTGGAGTTGGGTTGGTCACTGTCAGAATGTTGGAGACCCTGACTCTTGAGTAGACCAGCTATTGCGCTCAAAGCACGTTGAGTGCAGCTTTGTGTCAGTGCTGGTGTATATGGACCCTGTGTTACTTTTCAGTCATGATATAATGTTTGCCATGCGAAGATCATCTCAGTCTATAATGAGCAACTGACCAAATCATAATTCTGATCAGAGATGCACTTTGCTTGAAAACAATTACTATTTTACTTACATGGCCACAGTACTATCTTTAGAAGGCACCTTCACGTACAGTTCGTATTTGATCCACCCAAAGGATGAAGATCAAAGATTTTTATCTACATTTCAGGGGGCCTGGAGAGTTTACATTCTGCATGCCAAAGGCTATCTAGCAATTTAAAGTATTGGAACTCTGACCCCAAATCAGATCTTCAATCTAGGGAAAATGGCACCGAATGGGTGAGGGGGAGGGAAATAAAATGTAAATGATAAGAGAGAAATTTGAATTCTAACCTCGATTCTTGGCTACCACTACCTACTATAGCAACCTTAAACAGATCACTGAATTTCTAAAGCCTCCTTTTTCTCATCTAAAACAGGAAAAATCTGGACTAGATGTTTTCAGACATTCATTCAAAAATGGTTATTAAGCCCTAATATGAAGGCACTAGGAGATATAAGGTAAAGAACACTAGGCTCTTTACCCTAAAATACCTTGCAGATTGGTAGATGAGACATAACACATGAACAAATAACCCAAAAACAATGTGCTAACAACAAAAGAGAACAGCTTTGTGAGGGGCAGGGAGGACTGATTTAGCAAGGACTGAGACTGGGAATTTAAACCTGAATTCTTAAAGGATGCAAAAAAACCCATCCAGACAAATAGAGGACAGAAAGTCGGTCCAGTCAGAGAGAACAGCATAAACAAAATCTCAGAGCAGAAGAGCCGTGGAGTTTGCCAAAGTGTGACCGGCCGGCAGAAGACACAGGAGGCAGGAGTTGAAAGCAGAGGTCAGACTGAGGAGGTCCCCACAGGACACACTGAGGAGGCTGGGCTTCTTCCAGAAGGCAGTGAGAAACCAGGGCAAATGGCACAGTCAGAACTTAACTGTACAAGGGCCACTGTGTCAGTCGCGAGAAGTAAGGGTGGACAGGGCAGAACCTAGAGGCAGGGCGTCTAGTTAAGAGTCTCTAGTAGAGACGGTGAGTGCTTGCTCTAGGGTGATTACAGGCAAGAATGGACAGAAGTTCAGAAAATAAGAACTCAGTAGAAACTCAGTAAAAACAAACTCAGTAGAAACAAATGCACTGGGAATGGGGTGACGATGTGGAGGAGGGGGCAAGGCATGGAATGATTGGGTCCAGGCTTCTGCTCAAGAAAGAACTGACATACCCAATACAGGGGGGGGAACCGACAAGATTATCCTGAATTCCACTTAGGACAGGTTGGGGCCCAGAAATACCTGGGGAGAGATGTCCAGGAGCCGGCTGAGTACAGCACCTTAGTGCGCAGGAGAGAGGCCTGCCCTGAAGATACGTCTTATGGGAATAAGCTGCCCATGGGTGGGAACTGAAGCCTTCCAAGTGAATGTGACACACACACACACACACACACACACACACACAGACACACACACACCCCCAGGGAGAGAGTACAGAATGAGAAGCGTCCTTGGCCAGAACCCACTGAGATACCACAATCCACACAACAGGCAAAGGAAGAATAGCAGGAGAGAGAGACATCCCAGAACATTCATGCCAAGAGAGAAACGGGGACCAAAAGTATGAAATGCAGCCCGAGGTGTCGACCCAGGAAAAGAACAACTGAAAAATGTCTGCTCGTCTGAGCAGGTAAGTGGTCCCTGGAGAACTTCCGGAGATTGGTTTCAATCAAGTGACTGAGAGAGAAAGCGAGACGGCAGTGGATTAAGAGAAACAAGGAACATACACCATCTTTGGGGGAACTTTAGATCAGAAAGGAAGAAAGGTGAAAGTTAGTGAAGATTGGAAAGAGGGATTCCAAGTCCCTACCGGTTCTCCTACTTCCCTTTTTCATACGGATAAAAAGCCTATTTTGGTCAAATTCCAGTAAAACCCACATATATTAAATTTGAAGTCACATTTTTAATTACCAGGAAAAACAGGGGACTCATGTAGCTCTCAGTGGAATATACATATATAACGTTTCCCAACACACCTTAGAAATACGTGGTAAAACCATCTCTTTTTTCGCTTACTCAAGGGGGCCAGGGCCAGAGGGGAACTGTTGGCCAAATAACCCTTCCTTGCTCCAACTCTTCCTTCTCTTAATGTCTCATAAAAACATTCTTTGTCCCCCTCAGCCTGGAATATCCTTCTCCCCTACTTTACTTAACTCCTATTCACTCTGCAAGGGTCTGCTCAAACTGCCCCTCACAGAACCACAGCATGTAGGAGACAAAAGGGCCTTGAAGTTCGTTACATCCGAGTGTTCCCACAACGCTGAGAGCTTCAGAGAATGACCCATCCATGGTCATACTCCTGCCTTGTGGCAAAGCTGAACTTGGAACGACTTCTTCAACCAGCGTCCATTTCACTATGCCTCATCTCTGCACGGCAGCTTAAGATCGTGGTAAGTCAAGTTTTAAGAACCATCAGTCTTAAACAGTTTATTTGGTCTAAGACCCAGGTTAACACACTTCTGAAAACGAAGGAGCGGTCTACAACTTCACTTGTTTGTTTGAGTCAATTACCTACAACTACTTGATTATACGAGTGAAGATTACAGATGTCGACTAATATTTATATCGTGGATAGGCTGTCAGTCACTAAATAGGATCTGTCCCCCGGAGTGTAGCCTTGATTCCAGCCTCTGCCAGTGGAAGTGTTGGAGCAGATGTGGACAGACTGTGACATACAGTATGTCTTTAAAACTTGCTGGGGTGTGAAATTTCATAAGGTCAAAAAATGCTGCATTTTGATCAGCAGACACAGGAGTTCTGTACTTCTGTAAATTATTTCAGACAAACCAATACCATTTGCTAGTAAAATAGAGAAACTAAGAACTGTACTGGCTTTATGTAGGAGATAACGTGTGCTGCTAGTGTTTTAAAGGCCAATTTCTATCACTTTAAAGCAAATGCTCATCCAAAAGTCTCTAGAATGAAAATGCGCTCTTAAATCAACGCAAAATACAAGATACTATTTCATTTGACAACAGGGTTTTAAAAATCATTTTCTACTAAAAGAAAGCCATAAATATCTAATGAGCATTCTGGTGGGGGGAAAAATGGTTTCCTTAACTAATACATACATATTAACAGTCTTCTCACTTCTTAAAAAATGAAATCCCTACCTAAAAATCCATTTATAGAAAGAGAGGTGTCTGGGTTGGTTGGTTTGTTTTTTAAGTTAGTATTCTTGCCACTCAACTGATTTCAGAAACCCTTTGGTTTACTGCTTTATCTTATTCTTTAAAAAAATTAAAAGACAGTATCCATAAAAAAGGCTGGGGCTCTATCCAATTTTAAAACGACTTTTCTAACATTCAAGGACTTTTGTTATCTTGCATTTTTTTTCTGCTCCTATTTGATATTATTCATTTTAATTTTTTTGCTTCAATCTTTACCTCCTATCTGTTTCAGATGTAGCTAACAGAAAACAACATATAACCAAAATCAAAATTAAGAATGGTGTCTGGCTAAAGATTTTATCTCAATGGTACAGACTTTAGCTCTTATGCAAGTTTATTTTAACCTAACATTACTTTTTCAAATGCTTTATTTCTGAGTTAACACCGGACAACCCTTTCGTTGATTCATGAGTCCTACAGCCAGCCTGAAGAGCCTGGTCGTAACACAGCAAGGATAACTGTTGCCAGAATCACCAGCAGCAGCATCTTTCAGTTTATTCTTGGCTATGGTCAAGAAAATATATAATTCCTAAATAAATTTTCATTACAAACATTTTTCTTAGATACTTGTAAGGAAGAAAAATTTAACTTCAAACATAAAATCTCCCCAGAAAACAATTTCTGAAGTAAATCACTTGTTTCTCCTCCTATGATCAACAAAAAGAGCTAAGATCATGACAGTAAACTGATTAGAAATGTAACCAGGTCCTGCAACAACCTTAACAACCAAGTTCACTTGGCAACCGAGTTCAAAGGTCCCTGTTTACATTTATAAAGAAAAAACTTGAGGTACATATTTGGGGAATCGTATTTATCACATTTAAGTTCTATATTCAACTAAATTGTATTATGTAAGACCATATATCATCAATAATCCCTATGCTAAAGAACTGAAATTGTATCAAAGCTGAAAACTTCCCTGCACTTAAATACAAGCCTAAACTTTTTCATGGGCTTCTCCTATACTGTAAGATAGCTGACACATGAGGTCATACAAATAAATAAATACAAGGTGAATCAACAATTATAATGAACTTACTTGCCACTGAAAAGTTGTTGAGGGGATAAGGTAAATCCACATCTTGAGGTTTCTCTTTATATCCTATGAATGAGCCATCTGTCTTCAAAAGGAAATATCTTGGCCTCCAGTTTTTTATATATTCTCCTACATGAGGAAAGCATGCATGTTAATGCTGGGGAAAAAAATGAACAGCAGCTTTTATGTGAAAAATAAATTATGGTACAATATATGTCCCACAACACTGGCCTCTAAAAATTTAGTTAGGCAATTTTCTTTTAACTTAGCTTACAAAAGAAAATACATAAGCCTGCAATTAAGATTCAATAAAAACTCAAACATGTTTTGTTTTTAATGATTTCACACTTTGATAATTCATTTGCACCATTATTTCTTCAGAGAATCATTCATCTGAGTACCCATTTTGTTCAGTTTTTCATTTTATCAGATGGTTGTTAGAGCATATTTCAACCATTTTAAAAAGCCTTGGTAAATCATCCACACACAGTATCAAGGAATTTCGATGAAAAACACTTATCATAAGGAGGAACATGAAATAGATGTTTATCTTCCATGTACTACTAATTGTGTCATTTTTTAAGAAGAAAGGGGGAAAAGTCTTTTCATTGTTAAATCTCGATCATAACTTGTTTAAACAACATTTTATTGTTCTGAATAGGGAAATTATCTTCTGTAAAATGCTGTAAATAAGTCAAGGAAATGAAAGAACATGGGTTAACAGAGCTTAAAAACCACACACACACTCACACAAACAGTAATAACTGTAAGAACACATGGTACTAGGCCAAGCACATAGTAGTCAATAAATGCATATGTATCAAATTTTGATACAAACTATCACCTAGCTATCAAAATACACATTTTTAGCAACGAGATCACAAGCTGCTTACCTAAGAAGCGACTTGACTGAATTTTAAGAAACAGAGGTGCTCCATGACACCATAAGAGATGGAAGGCTATCTGGTCTCAAAATTGTCAGTTCTCTACTGGATATTTCTACCTGGTTCTTCGATCTCAAATGCTGAATCAGAGTCCTGCAAGAAACTGAACCCAGTTCCAAGTTCCCTACAAGTCAGCTTCTTCCCTGGACCCCAGCTGCCCAACTCAGGCTAACATGGGGCTGGTTCCCTCTCCTTCGGCTAGGCCAGCGCTGCCTTCACAAGTCTCTCATTTAGCCCAACCCAAAGGGGGCCCCTCACGCCTTGCCTTTCTGCTGTGGTGCTGTGCCGGCCCCCTGCCTTGCTGTCCCCCCTTCCATCCTCATGCATCTATCCCCTCCAGATTAATCCTGTGTACCACTTTGATCTACGTCGTTTTCTGCTCAAAAATATTCTGACTCTTTCTGTTTAGTACAACTCTCTCAGCATAAAACGTAAGCAACTCCATAGTCTCACCCCAACATACATTTCAGATATGGGGTGTGCCTCTGGATCAGCAATTCTCAAGCTCTTTACCTCACCCCTCTTTACACCCTTAACCTTCACTGACAACTCCAACAATCTATTTAGGTAGATTATGTCTATGTCTACTATATTAGGAACTGAAAAGAAAATTTAAATGCCTTTATTACTTCCTTTAAAAATAACAATAAACTCATTACGTGTAATATAACTATCCTATTTTTATGAAAATCATTATATTTTCTAAAACAAAAAAAAAATCAGCAAAAGAGAACTTCTTTCCATTAAAAAAAAAAATCTCTTTTGATGTTTGGCTTCACAGAAGATAGCCAGGTTCTCATATCTGCCTCTGTATTCAAGCTACTGTGGTATGTTGTTTTGGTTTAAAATACAGGAAAGAGATCTGGCTCAACAGATATGCAGCCAGAATGGGCAGGAGTATTGGGATAGTTACGGCTCTCTTTCTTTGAGGTTTTCTGAAAGGTTAACTGCAGTGTGGAATTTGAAACCATGTCAAGAAACCTACTGTTACGTGAAAATCCATTGGTCTCTATTACACATTGAATGAATCTTTTACACACTATGCATGATTTTGCAACATCAGACATGGATCCTTTAGAAAACACTGCTTCACTGAGTTATACTGATCTTCCAAGCGTTGACACATTTGGTTAGGCAAGTATCATCAGAAAAGTAAGCACTGGGAAGCCATCAAGCTCACAATGGCAGATATGTTCTCATTTTTGCTTCAAAACTTGATTTTCCCCATTGGTCCTAATTACTGTCAGTTCTTTTTCCTTGAAGTGATATACTTCTACTGCCCACCCTAGTGCTTACCACTTGGTAGATGTTGAATAATAATCTATCAAATGAACTAAGACATGAAGGAGATGCATACAAATATCACTCCAGCACATAAAAAGCACTTAAAGGGAAAGAAAAAGAAAACCTGACTCCTCTCCTCACTTCGCTTTAGTGAAAATATATGGCCCTAAGGTTAATAAACACATGCCAAATTTACAAAACCAGAATGTTAAATTCACACTTCCCATTACAAAGATGAAGTAAGTTCCTTTTTTGATTGTACTTAATTTTTCCATTTTTACTTATGGACTCCAACATAAAATTTAAAATCATTAGATATTAAATATCTAATTAGTAATATCATATTTGGATTTCAAATGCTCCTGCAAAACAATAACAGATTCATATTGGTATCAGATGCTCTATCAAGCTAAAAAATAAGCAATAGTTTAATAAGTATACAAAAGATAAAAAAAAATTCATCTAAAAAATTTAAAAGAAGCAAAATGGGATAGCACTATTTCTTATTGTATGAAAGTACTGAAAACACATATTCAAGAAATATGAAATTAAAAGAAATAAACATCAAATTTTCATTTCTAAGAATAATTTCCTGTCAGTCACTAATGCTGTCATGCTCAGTTGAAAGACACAAGACACCATCACATAAATCTTCTATCTTTTTTGTTAAACAAATCTTAGGAAATTTAGAATATTTTATGTGGTCTACAGCAAGAATTCTGGCTGCCAGAAAGTTCTTTTAAAAAAAATCTATTGGCGCGCCTGGGTGGCTCACTCGTTTAAGCGTCTGCCTTCAGCTCAGGTCATGATCCCAGGGTCCTGGGATCGAGGCCCGCATCAGGCTCCCTGATCGGCAGGAAGCCTGCTTCTCCCTCCCCCACTCCCCCTGCTTGTGTTCCCTCTCTCGCTGTCAAATATATAAATAAAATCTTTAAAAAATAAATAAATAAATATAAATAAAAATCTATTATGTGTCCCTGACATATTACATTACATTACATTACATTACACCAAGACAGTGCAGGAGTCATTCGCAGTCAGGAATAAAATTGAAAAGTCAAAATCTACATTGTTGATAAAATAAAAAGTATTATTTCTCACAAATTTTGATTAATAATTTTGAATTGATTCAGTTAAATCAGTCAAAAATTGTGCTGTCACAGAAAGCTAACAGTGGATCTCCAACTTTAAGACTCTTGATTTTTGATCGTTGTTTATAATATGAATGGACTTCCTAAGAAGATGTTCAGAACGGAGTACATTTACTTATTTATTTGCTCTGGGTCCTAGAGACACAGTAGTGGACCAAGAAAATAAGAAACACAAGGACTCGAACTCTTGGACTTTCTATTCCGGTACTACACCAGGTTTCAGGCACCCCCTAAAATTCAGAGAAGGCTTCTAAAAACTTCCTGAAAGCAGATCCTTTTTTATAGGTTCCCAGGAATGTTCTCAAGTTCATATAATAGCATGATGTGTTGGCCTAATTAAATATTTATTTTCTAGTTCCAAAAGTAGAACTAAGAAGGGATTCTTTTTCTGCCAAAGAACTGGGCCTTACCGAGGACACAAATTCACAAGGTAGGGAATAAAGCAAAAAAGCAAGCTTTACCGCCCCCTACTAGGCCCAGAAGAGGACAACTCCCAGCTCCAGAGAGTATAAAAAGTCACAGCTTTCCACGATACCATGACAGGCCACCGGGCACACTGATGGCAAAGCAGAATTGTTCCTGCCGCGTTGGGGACCTTGTCCAGCTGGTCACGAAAAGGGACCTGAACACTCTCCTCACTGACCCGGTAGTTGAGGCAGTGAGAGTCTGGATGAGGAACATGTTCTCAAGCCGTTCTAAAAATATGGCCAAAAAGTCCTTGCTTTTACGGGGCGAAGTGCCCGGAACAAAGGTGCCCTCTCTGCCACGCAGCCTTTTAAGAGAGACTGCTAAAAGTCAATCACATCTTGTATTTTAAACATAGCATTTACACCTAAATTTACACATGCTGTATTAAAACCAAGCTGTACCATACTTTGGTATTTATAGCCCATAGGTTTCAACTAATTTAAGAGACAGCTTGGTTGTAACGGGGAGAAAGTCTTGTTTAAAAAAACAGTAGCATTTATGGGGTACCGATTCAACATTTCTATGTGCTGTCACAATAAACCTTCAGCAAGCGCCACAGCCACACCTGGATGGGATTTCCAGCACAAACTCTTCCCGACTTTCTATCTCCCTTCATGAAGGGTGCTTTCAATTCTTTCTCACACTCCTTGGCTGAAGGCTTCATGCTTTTTGAAGTACATGTATTTTGATATTGGAAACAGCATATTTCCCAACAGGGATCCTGATATTTTGGCTTCTGTAGTGAGCTGAATGGTGACCCCTCAAAAGATATGTACCCACCCTAATCCCCGGGACCTGGGAAAATTGCCTAAGATGGCAAAAGGGGTGATGAAGTGAAGGATTTTGAGAAGAGGGGCTTATCCTGGATGAGGTGGGTGAGCCCCAAATCCAATCACAGACATCCCCGAAAGTATGAGGCAGAGGGGGCTTGGACACACTGGGAGGAGAAGGCCCCGTGACCCAGCGCCACACCCCCAGCCAACGAATACCTGGAGATACCAGAAGCTAGAAAGAGGCAAGGAACGGATTCTCCTCTGAAGCCTCTGGAGGGAGTCCAACCCTTCCTGACACCTGGATCTCTAACTTCTGGTGTCCAGAACGGTGAGAGAATTTGTTACTGTCTTTTGTTTTGAACCACCCAATTTGTTGTAATTTGTTACGATGGCCCTGGAAAACTTACTGCAGTTTCTTAGCACTCTAACCAAAGGCTTGTTTATAGAACCAAACCAAAACAAAACCCTATTGATCAATTAAGTTCTTGGCATCAGTGGTATAAAGACAC